ACCTATCTCACTGAAACAGCAGAAAACTGTCTACTTTGGTTTTTTATTGCTGCTGTTTTAGCAGTTTGAGTGGGGACACAGAAGGTGTGACAAGTGATGCCATCTGGGAAAGGTGAGAGAGCAGTCAGAAAACTCTTTTTGGTCCTTTGTACCACTGAACTGTTAAATGCTGAACTTCAGAACGTAGTTTAAGGACATAAAGTAGTGTGGAAACCTCTTTGGAGAAGGCTGTGCATGCCTGAGACAAAAATGAATTGCAAATAAGTGTAAATACCTTCAACAAGTTAAATGATGCTTCCATGTGGAAATGTTATGAATTAATAATGCCACTAGAAAAAAGCTGAACTCATCCATTCCATCTGTACTGGAAAAGTTACTGTTCGCTTACATTATTCAGTTTTCCCAAACTTGAAGTCCAAAGTGTAAAAAGATAGATTTGATAACATTTATTCTGTTGGTAACAGATTAGAGCTAAAACGAAGCTATGCATTTATCGTTAATCTGATATTTCCGTGAGATGATACTTCCATCCAATAGTCTGATAAATGTTTCTCTGAAATTATGTTAAAGGAAATAAATGAGCAAGTGCTGAACTTTAGAGTGCTCCAGCATGTAAATGAGCTCAATGAAGACCTGAGTCAAAACTGTATTTGTGAAGTCATAGTATATAATAGTGTTGTAGATTAAATCTTTGTGGAAGAAGCAGAAGCAATCAGATCATGTTTTTTTTCCCCTTCTCCATATAGAATTCCAGAAATCTTGCACCATATTTGTTTGCTTATCTTGCAGCACTTTGATGTTGGACTTAAGATGGTATTGCATCATTTTTTAGACAACAGACAAAAGTAAAAAATGAGATCACTGGTGATAAATAAAGCTTGCTGATTAATCATGACAGATGAACTCTAGGTATTTTGTATTAGTATTTAGCTGCACCATAAATCAGGGCTCTTCAAATTCTCGGATGAGTAATGTTACAGCTGCTTACCCAATGGCTACATGGCAATCATGCCTTATTTTTCTTATAGTAAGAACGATTTCAGGAGCTGTCTGAATCTGGTCTGTTGAACTACCTTATTTGTGAGCCAAGATTGAAGTTTCCTTTGTTAATTTTGTAGTTGGCCCTGTATTTTTTTTAGATATTCTTCCTTAGAATGTTTCTTCTGCCAAATGTTGGTTTTACATAATGTAGTATTGCATTTATTGGCTCTGCAACTATCTTAAAATACAGGTGTTTGGAATGTCTGAACTCATGCCTAAGTGTATCAATGAGATGTGTGAGTTCTGACTGCCCTTGAGGCTCCCTTAGCTTTGGTTTACTGGCAGTATTATTTTCAGTCCTTGTTAAGAGTAATTTCTGCCCTTTTTTTCCTTACGGTAAAGCTTGTAAAAGGTCAGACATTTGATATCATTACCTTCCCTAGAATGGGGGGTTCCCATGTGGCTTTCAGGATGGATGTTTGTCTTGGCAAACTGCTGCTAAGGTTTGGGGGTTTTTTTGTGCTATGACTGAGCAGAGATCTTAGAAAAGTGAAGCATGCAGAGTTGTCCACGAAGGGCTAACAATAGGGAAGATGGTTAGTTTGTGTGGCCTTTGAGACAGACTTGATTGAAAGCTGTCCTATTTGTTAAATGTTATGGGAGTTCATTTCCCTCAGTTATTCCTTTTTCAGATTCTAAAGTGAGTATTTCACAAGTCTTGTTATACTTTGTATGCATCTTTATGGTGAAAGAAGGATGCAACTGCAAGGAGTCTTTTTGTGGGAGCTCCATCTCTTCATCTTAGCAGGTTGTCGTTGATATTTTTATTCTTACCAGTGTAAAACCTGAGCATTTATTTCAAAGAGTTTCCTGCAGTGAAATGTTATCCACTTCTTTGATGTTATATGCATCTGGAGTCAACACATTCAGAAGTAAGGCATCTGAACTTTTCTTTAGGAAGAAAAAAAAAGAAAGAAAAAAGAATAGAGGAGAAATTGTGAGAGTTATAACCTAAAAGGAGGAGGGAATGTGGAGTTAAGGACAGCAGACATCTTGTGAATGAGATGTTTGTATGCAAAAGGCCTTGGGATGCATTTCCCCTCCAGTGGCTTTGAGTGGTAAGCTGTAACCTTGGTAAGCTGTCCTGCCAGACTTTGTGTTGATGCTTTGGATCTGGGGGAGGAATTTAGTGTGGTTGCTGGTGCTTGACTTTACAGAAATGAAGCATATTCTTTCCAAGCTCTTAGTCATTTATGCCCCCTTCATTCCTACTGTTCTTGTATCCCTTTTTCCATCTTCTTGACAACTTCTTTTGTGTTGAGACTACTGTCAAAGTGACTTCTGTACATGACAAAATGTAATTTGAAGTCCTCCTAACTGTTCCTTGATCAGAATTCTGTTTCTTAGCCTTTTGGAGGAAATTAACACTGAAAGTAAAAGAACACTAGCAAGTCATCAGAAGAGATTGTGAAAAATGTTCATTTAAGAGTTTTCCTACTGTTTACTGGTATTGCTGTGAAGTTTCATCTTAGAATGTATTGAAGTCATTGCCCCTTGGCTCCAAAATTATAAATAAAAGAAATTCCTTGAGGTGATTTGAATTTCCTAGTAGAATGATGTAAGCTAAAGAAACTCAAGCAGTGGCTCAGCCATTTCATAGCTTCATTCTTGAGCCCTGTCTGGGGCTCAGTGAAATTGTTACTCAAGTTCATCTAAACACATATATTGGTAGTCTATTGAGCTGGGTAACTAGCACTGATGAAAGACTCTTGGATCAACAGATCTGATGGATAACATGGCAGTCTTGGTGTAGATGCCTTTGTTTTTCTTCTTGATTCCTTCTTGTTTTGCTGGTAGCATGGGTAGCACTTTTGGGACTGTTACCTTTAAGACGTTATTGGACAGACTGTGCAGTCCATGTGTCCTCTCCGTATTTTTTCACTCAAATGTGTATTTTCTGGGTTTATAAAGACCCAAACAATCTATCTGCCAGAAAAACCCAAAAGAAAACAAAAGCAACCTCCCTGATCTTAAACTCCTTCAGCAAGCTTATATTAGGTTTTAAAAGTTTAAGTCCTATTTTATGGTGTGCATCATTGTAGTTAGGACATCTGCAGACTTTATTATGAAAGGGAAAACTCCATATTTCTGTCCATGTGGCACACTTTGGAAAAAAAAACCAAGTTCAGTTCATTGTACAGAAAAAACAAACCTAGAAACTCCCATCAGTCTTTAAAAGTGTTCTCTTGGACCTTCCTTTGAGTTTAAAGAAGTGTACGAAAATCAAAGGATCTTTATATATTGTATTCTAGCAAGTATATTTTTGCATGATATTTTTGTGACAGTAGCTTTGTTTATTTATGAGCTTTCTTGTCTAAACTGTGTTTCCTCCCTGGCAATTTTAGGTTCTAAGTTTAGTTAGATGGATTTGGGGCTGGTTAAAGAAAAGGTGATCTCCAAGTAAGTCAGCTGGTTCATAAAGGTACCAATAAATGTGCTTTGCTTTCAGCTTTAACTGTCAGTTAACTGATTCTACTTTATTAGAGAATTTGAGAACCCATTTTCTGATTCTCTGAGGCTGATTCTGTGAAATAAGTGATATTTCTTCGGTTGTGACTGAAGCAGAAAGCTGATACTTGGTCATACCTGAATAGGGTATACACCTACCACATCTTGTCCTGCGCGTGGTGAGAGTGGTTGAGCAGTCACTGTTGAACAAATCATGTTTTCTTTTGAGACTTTGAGTAATCATTTTGATAGTTAGATCAGCATGGGTGATTTTTAATATTCAGAACAGTTACTAAGTTTTGATATAGCTATTCAGACTTACACATTTTGTGTTCCTCATCTTTTCAAGCTGCTCACCAGGATTTTTAAACCTCTTGTGTTAGTCCATCCATGCACAGTTTTTTTACTAGCTTTCTGTCGAAGCACTCGTTCTGAACACATAACCATGTACTGGGCTGTTCTGCTGAGTTTTGTGTTAGTCCATCAAAATTTCACGAAGACATAAAGAAGCAAAATACTTGAGTCCAGTATCTTACAAGCAACTTTCTCTCACACCTATGGTTTCTCTGCATTTTCTGACATTGGCTGTCTAAATAAACCACATTATGATGTGAAGGAAAAAGTGACTGTCTAGACTTGTTCATGATTAACTTGGTAAAAATACTGAACTCCTGTATTCCAAGTTTAATTGTTAGTTTTGTCAGACTGGGTATTTTTTGTAAGTATTTGTCTGAACTATTTGAACAAATACAGTTTAGGTCTGAATCTTTAATCCTCTAGGAATTGATTTTTACCAGTGTGAAAGACTTCTATTATACTCTGAAGGCTCTGAGTTAAGAAGGTATTTTCTCTCTGTGTGCACAATTTCATTCACATTGCCAATGCTTCGTGTTGTGTTTAAAAAATAAAAATTAACATCCCTCCTATTTTAGAAAGCACATTTGATATGGATAGTTGTGGGTATTTTATTCAGTTTAACATGGAACATACTTAGTCTGTAAAATGTATGCAGCTTTTGGGGAGTGAAACCTAAATCAGATTTCACAATCTTACGCATGGAAGTGTCAGTAGGGGAGTCAATGCTAAAACATTGCATTAATTTAAATTTGTATGCCAACAAAAAATACTGTGCAGACGCAGAAATGCAGAAAGATATAAATATTTGGAAAAATGGAGGAAGATCTCTGAAGCAGACGCCATGTCTCTGGTTTTGATCAAGTTTCTTTTGTTGATTAATTGGTTGTTGGAAAGATGGATAATATTAACAACATTGGTCATAAATGCTGGCTATAATTGAAGGTTTCAGTTGGTGTACTTTGAAAGCAAATATAAATACTTGATTTGCTTTTATAAAATTATGTTATAAAAGTTTCAAAACATTAATGAGGTTTTCAAACAGCACAGGACATTATTACCTCTTCTTAAATTTTGATAATGCTTGATACTATGTAAAATAGGTTATGGTAAATATGAACCTGAACTTAGTTTATATTCTCTTTTACAACTTCTAGAAATACAAAGAGAAAGACAAACACAAGCAAAAATATAAGAAGCAGTCGGAGTCTTCACCATCCTTGGTTCCATCTCTTACTGTTACTACAGAAAAAGTAAGTCTATCTGTTTTTTCTCCTCTTCCACTACTTACTGTTACTACAGAAAAAGTAAGTCTGTTTTTTCTCCTCTTCCACTATAATTCCTTTTGTTGAAATTTCATGATGTGATTATTCTACTGTATACAGAAGCTTTATAATGGTATAAATTCTATAATTATGAAGAACACTTGGTATTTTTTCCTGCAACATAAAATCCCAAAATACTTAGAGGTATACCATATAGAGAAAGGCTTAAAGTTTTGTACTTAAATCATGAGGGGTTTAATGACCCCAGTCAGTGCCACTGATACTCCAGTAAGTTTTACTTAATTGAGTTACATTTAATAATTTGAGAAGTTTTAGAAAATATTTCCTTTGAAATTCACTTGTGTGTGCTGAGCCTGGAAACATTTAAACCTGTAATTATGAAATTACAGCTTAAGCTTCATATACTTATAATATCACCTTGCCTTTTTCTCAGTCTGCTCTGTTAGGTTCTGTGGTCTTTCCATCCTGTTAACTAGTGCTAGCAAATATCTAACTCCAGGGATAGCATGGAGGGTTAAGTAAGGACAGTTCTCTTTGTACTAGACAAGAATGACTTTTGCTATCCACCAAGGAAATTACACTAATCTTGGCAATACAGAGTGGGCAATGCTAGTGAGAAATGGGAGTTTCTGACTTCAAAGTTGGAAAACATTTGTCTCATTCATCTGGAAATGTTTGACATCTGAGCCAGTGAATCAGTGTTTGAATTGATTAGGGATCAGTGTGTAGATGATTGGTTTTCAGCAAAGGTGCTGAGGCTTGTGTTAACTGCATGTGATTGAGCTGCTAACAAATGTGTGTTTGCATATGGGGTAAAGCAAGGCCTTGTCAGGACAGGGTGAAGGGATTGAAATACCAACTTTCTCTAGTTTCTGGGTGTATTCAGCTAGTGGTATCAACATCAGGAATAATCTCCAAGAAAGTTGGTTTTTAGAATGCTTTGGATATTTCTTTATTTTCAACAGTAAGATTGTGAATGCATACCTGTTAGCATCCCATTGTTGGTGACACATTTTTGTTTCTGGTTCTGCTATATTCTCTTTGACTATTGTGTCATATGAGATTTGGTAGTCTGTGGTTGTCTGAAGGTCTCAATAACTCTGTTAAAAAAAAGAGGAAAGGGTCAATGTGTCATTTTGCTGTTCTGATTTAAGAGCAATTAGAGATTGCAATCAGTGAGTGTTACAGTTCTTGAAATAAAGTTATGTAACTCTTTGAATAGTATTGATTGGTCCATGTGATTTGTTATTTATATGTATAATAATATGTATATAAACATACTCCTCTTTACTCTGTGACAACTTGTAAAATTCACAGCCTGTAAAAAAAGCTTCTTGTGGGGGAACTTCCTTTAGCCTTTACAACTTTTGTTTAGGTTTTATGCTATGTATGATCTTATATTTCTTGAATTACATCGCTCTCATACTTTGATTACCCAATCTTCGTAAGTTTTTACAAAAAGTGTTATTACTGTATATTTGTGTAAAAGTTAAAGAAAATATTATTTTTTGCATCCTGCATATAAGAATATGCTTTTAATGCCCAAGACACAGTTAGATTATGTTTATCTGCTAACCTTATTTCTAATTGCTTTGTCCTCTCTATGCTTTTCCTAATTACAAGGCTTGCTCCTATGGTCAGTCACAAGGGTGAGCCAGAGCAACTACGAAAGAAAACAGAAACTCTCTAATTCTAGAACTTAAATTATAACTGAATTAAACTAAAACAGAATATTCACTGTGGAATTTAAATATCAACATGTGCCCTTCTAGTTTTCTTATTTAAACCTTTTGTATCCAGTGGGTTTTCTTTACCTAAACTCTCTGCTTCATTTTCTACCTTCTTTTTATAATGCTTCAGATCCTCAGGAAAATCGGTGTTAATTTTTTGCAAATGAAGTTACTAAGTGTGATTATGTTTTTTTTAAAAAGTATCGACTGCATATTTGGAAGTGATTTTTTTGTGGCTGGTTCCTTCAGTTACTAAATTCTTTTCCCCCTAAGTCCTTTTGGCACCATTTATATCCATCTGCTTTTCTGGGTTATAAATTCATAATGTGCTCCTCAAAATTTTGCAGTTTTAATAATAAACAAGCTTTATTTTCTTCAGAGGTGAATATTTGGTTCAGAATATTGTATTAATGTGTTACTTTTATGTGCCCTTTTGCACAGAGTTGTCTGAATTGATTTGGACTTTGTCTGTTTCACAGCAGCCTCTCTTTTCACTCAGCACATCACTGTGTATATCACATGGTGTATAATCACTTGTTCCGTAGCATTTCTGTGGGGGGAACTGAAATTTTATATCACATGGTGTATAATCACTTGTTCTGTAGCATTTCTGTGGGGGGATCTGAAATTTGAAATTAATTTTTTTTCCTTTATAAAGGACTTATATCCTTTGTGACACACTGGTAATGACCCTTTATGCAGGTGATGCCTTCAAGCATGTTTTTATGTGGATGAGTGGCTTCTTAAGACAGTCATGAAAGGCTGCAGAATAAACTGTGGATTTACATCATCTGACTCAGTGTACTTGTATTTGCCTGTTTGTTCTGCAGAATTTAATTCCAAGACATTTTACTGAGGTTCCAGTCCATGCTGTTTTGAGAGGCATTTTCATGCAACCCTCTAATGTCTCAGCAATCATTGCTTAGTCTGAATCAGTAAAGTTTGAAAAAGTTTGAACCAAGAAATTCCTGACTACTCTTTGATTAATGTGCTAACAGCTTTCTCACTTTCTCACTCCTAGATAGAGAATGCTTTAAGAAGGTCTAGAATAGCTTAGGAATTTGAATTCTCTCACTGCCTTTTCTTCTGGCCCTTCTCTTAGTTGGGAAGAGGCATCTGCCCTGTATTTACTCCTGATGAAAACTGCTGTCTCAGGTTTTGAGTTTTGGCGTGTTGGGAGTTCATGGTTTAGCAGCTTGGGTGGTGTGTGTATTATTAAATCAAACAAAACTCTAAAACATTGATGTACACAAAGATACCCAAGACAGTGTATCTGCATTCAGACTGCAGTCAGTAGCTAAGGAAGAGATATTGCAAACAGAAAGCACAGCTGGGAAAGTTTTATCTGTAGTAATAGAGAGGATGATGGTAACTCTCCTCAGTTCACCCTGATTACCACCCAACCTACTTCTCGAGAGGTGCTCAGATCCTACCACAATGGGGTACAGGAGGGAATGAAAAGAGTAGGGAAATCTCTGTTCAGTATGACTGGACACGGTTATCCTACAGCAGTGTGGTGTTTGTGGGCTGTGGGGTAGATGTATATGTTGGTTTGGGTTGGTTTTACTCAGCTGGTTGGACTGTGCTCTTACCATCTGACGTTTTGTGGAGGATTGCCTGCCACAGTCCTTCTCTGTGCAAGACTTTTGAATCACACATATCTATTAAAGTTAAAGGCTACTCAGGCTTGGAACATACTATGGATAGCAACAATGATTGTTAGGCCTCTACCATAAATCTAAAGCTTTCCCCAGAAGTTTTAAGACTTGCTGTAGATGGATGTATAACTTTGCAGGGTGCACAGGGTGATGCCTGGGAGCATAAAAACTACAGTAGCTCTGTGTCTACAAAGTGGGCAGTGTGAAAGTTTGCTTTCCAGGAAAAAATCTGCAGGGTGGTTTATAGAAAATGTAAAGGAACCCTCAGAACCCTACACAGAGAATTAGCTCAGTAATTGCACTAATAAATACTGAGTGTTTTTTGAGAATAGAGCTAACAGTAATGAGAAAGTTGAGTCCTCCCAGACAAACCAAGGAACGGAGTTGGGTAACAGCATCTATGGAATCTCTTTTTTTTTGGGTCATCTGTATTGAAATGAAGGAAAATGACTGCGGTGTGAGCAGTGAATGGAGCAGCCTCGAGGAGTGTATTCCACTTAAAAAGCATGTGCTGGGAGGGGAAAGCATTGTAAGCTCAGGGGGCTGCAGAGGGTGAAGCCAGTCAATAAATAACCCAAGCTCTTCTGCCTATCTCCTCAGATCCATGCTCTGCCACTCACACTCCCCTGACCTCAAAAAAAACACCCCGAAACAAATGAACAATATCACTTTGCCATAGTATCTTAAGGTTTTTCTGAAACATTTCTATTAGGTCTTTGTCTTTTAGAACTTAGCATTTTAGAAAGCAGTTTGCTTAGTGCTGGAAAGGTCATTGTATGAACCAATTAGCTTAATAATCAAAGGTTTGTGCTGCAGTTTTACCTCTGATTCTGTTGTATGTCGTGTGGATTCACAAAGCAATTGATGTATGTGTGTCTGGTTTAGGGCACTTTGTTGCAATTAAGTCCCTAAAGTAAGGAATATAATTGGGGGGGGGAGGGGGGGCAAAAAAACCAACCAACTAAATGATACATGCTAATTTTAGCTTGCTGAGGGTGTAATGCCTAGTCATCATTGCCTAGCCCTGGCCAGTCTGTACAGCTATGTTTATACTCTTTATTTCCCTTTAAAATAAACACATTTTTATAAGGTCCTACAGGAATGGGGAAGATGTACTAGATAGCGTTAAATTATGTTGATCCCTAGAGAGAATTATTCGTGCAATTAATATTCAGCTGAGTTGATAAGATATATGAATTGGTTTAGAAAGGTTTTGATAAGAGGAAAAATCCTGGATTCTAGAAAAAAACTTGACTTTTGGTTTGGCTTTATAGCATGTGTGGAAAACCTTTGTTCAAATGGCTCCAATTTGAACCACTGCTTCTTAACTTGGGTCAAGTGACACATCAGTTTCCACTTGTCTAATAGTTCAAAAAGTTAACTGCTGAATTTGCCTTAGAGTTGGTTTCATCTTCATTAGAAACACAAGTATAATAATATGAATTTGGGGTAAATGATTTTTAACATTGTACTGTAACAGACTTAAACTGATTTTTCTTCACTGTTGTTCGGAAAATCCATAAAATATTTTCATTGCAATTCACAATAATTCATGTGTGGTGGTATGTAAATAGACTGAAATTTTTGCCTTCTTCAAAGCTTGTATATTTAGTTGTCTTCTGTCATTTGCAGCTGAAAAGTAAGGTTTATGTAAATGTCTTAGCTGTTTTAGTAAAATATGGAAAACTTGGTATAGCTGATACACAGTGCTGTATGAAAAGATGAAGAAATGTTCTGCTGTAGGCCAAAATTCAGCAAACCATCCCAGTTGGGGAAGGGAAGATGTGTGTGTATTCTCAATTTTAAGGGGCATGTGTTTGTGTTAATGGAGATAAATTTAGATACTATTTTAAATTCTCTTCTGTGAAGATCTGAAAAACAACCAACTTTGCTTTGAACAGATGAGTAGCTTCTAGGTTTGATCCTTCTTTTTTTTTTTTTTTGAAGAAGCAGCTTTATACAGCTATTTTCTTAGCTGGTTTGGGTAGAAATAACAGTATATAACAGTTTGCTTTTTTTCTGATTTTGCTTTCATTTTCTTTCTTATAGTATTAAAATATCACAGCCTCATTTTTTTTTTAAGCATCCTAGGTTACAATGTAGGGTGTAACCAATAGTATGTACTCTGTTATAATCTTCACAAGCTGTTAAAGCAGGTGGGGCAGTGCTTGTTATCTCCTACCTGGCTCATCCCTGATAACTCCCTGTTTAATGGGCTGGCAAGGACCCACCCCATGACCCATAGAATGACATTGTCCCACTGGGAGATGCTTCACCCCGTGGGCAGAGCCAAGCATTCCCACCTGGATATAATCTGGGGTTTGGACCAGCAC